TGAATAAAATACATGGAGAAGGTTTGCGTTACTTTGGGTGCATGGAGAAGGTTTGTGACCTCACGTTGAGAGTTGCAGGTTTGGTGATAGCTTAACTACCCATGCAAAGATCTATCACCAACTCTCCCGTCTGAACATTGCTGCTTGTAGGATTCCAAGAGCCAATGATGTCGTTGACTCCATACCTGTCTGTCACATGACACTGACACCATGTATTTTATTCACGTAGGCCATTTAGCATATGTATAGATAGATAGATAGATAGATAGATCACAATCAGATTTTTATGTAGCTTAGGGTATTCTTCTACTAAATCCTATCCATTCTCATAGACTATCTATCTTTAGTGGTGTCATTGGGCTTCACAAGTGTACAAATAGAGGCAAGCCATGTTTTGGTGACAAGGTGGAGGAACTCTTGGGAGTCATTGTTCAAGCTTTTTCTTTTGCCGTCGGAGGTGGAGAAGCAACAATGTTGCAGTGATGCTACTACAATGATGAGGCGACAGCAAGAAGAGAGCTTTATTGAAGATAAGAAGATGGAAATATTAGAAGATAAGAAGAATTATTGAATAAGCTTTATTGAAGAAGCATTATTGAGGAAGTGAAGTAGCTTGAATGCATTAACATATCCCTCTACTGTTTATACAGATTACGAGGGATGATTTTTCTCAACACAATAGAGGATTTCCCTCAACTGAGTAGAGAGTGAGTAGAGAGATTTCCTGAAATCTTATTTGCAATCAAGAACCACACTTCCCATGACTGCGGAAAGCAGAATCTATAGGCGAAGGTATCCTCTGCTTAAAAGATTTCGGCAGATTCAGTCATGAATTGGTCGTCCAGCAACACATCAGGCCAGAAGAAGAGAGTCTCAGTCCCACCACAGCTAGAGATACTACTACTGCTGCAAGCGTTCCCCTGGTTGGCAACCGAGATATCGGTGAGAGGAGGAAGAGGAGATTCGCCGAAACCAGTTGAGTGGGAGTATTGGGTGGTCTCATTGGGTGTGGGTGGCTCGAAGAAGGAGGACGGCAATTGGTCAATTTGGTTATGGCTATCGATGATATTTTGAGGAGGTGTGGGAGAGAGGATGGAAGGAAAAGATGAAGTCATCCGAGTGCTAAGGAGGGTGTTGGTGGAAATGGTGGTGTTTGAGGTATTTGGCATGGTGCAGGCCGACTGCAGCAGGGACTGCAGGAACTGGAGCTTTGCAGCCTGGTCGAGTGCCTCCGCTTGGAGCAGTGCGGCAAGGTCGTCCCGTGGCTGGCCGTCGACGAGCTCGCCAAGCTGGGCGAGAGCGAAGAGCTGGGGGAGGGCATCGAAGAAGTCGGTCCTCGGGCGGTGAGTCACGGGGTCGAATCCCATTTGGATCAGCTTCTTCTTGAGGTGGGTGTTCCAAAAGTTCTTGATCTCGTTGTCGGTACGCCCGGGGAGGTGCGCCGCGATCGCAGACCACCTAAATGGACAAAAGGTCGACCACGCTCGATTAGATCAAACTCAGATCGATCATCGGAGTTAGTGCGAGAGATAAGTAGACGAGCACTTGTTGCCTAGGATGGAGTGGAGGTTGAGGATGGCTTGCTCTTCTTCTGGAGCGAATTTGCCTCTCTTGATATCTGGCCTCAAGTAGTTGGTCCATCTCAGCCTGCAGCTCTTCCCGCATCTATTAAGCCCTGAGAGAAATGAGAGAGAAGGCTGTGACATGTCTGTAAGTACGAAATGAGAGAGAAGAACAGCACTGGACAGAGAGAGAGAGAGAGTACCAACCAGCAAGTCTAGGGAGGGCTCTCCAGCTGCCATGGCCATGCTTCTGGATGTACTGGACCAGCATGTGGTCTTCCTCAGGTGTCCAGGGACCCTTCTTAAGCCCGTTCTCATCACAGCATGGTGATCTCCCCATTGGACTCCTGGAAGAAACTGTACCTGACTCCCAAGAATTCCTCCACCTTGTCACCAAAACATGGCTTGCCTCTATTTATACACTTGTGAAGCCCAATGACACCACCAAAGATAGATAGCCTATGAGAATGGATAGGATTTAGTAGAAGAATACCCTAAGCTACATAAAAATCTGATTGTGATCTATCTATCTATCTATCTATCTATCTATCTATACATCTGCTACAATGGCCTACGTGAATAAAATACATGGTGTGTGTCATGTGACAGACAGGTATGGAGTCAACGACATCATTGGCTCTTGGAATCCTACAAGCAGCAATGTTCAGACGGGAGAGTTGGTGATAGATCTTTGCATGGGTAGTTAAGCTATCACCAAACCTGCAACAACGTAAACGGGAAACGCGCGCCTCTCAACGTGAGCAACGTGAGGTCACAAACCTTCTCCATGCACCCAAAGTAACGCAAACCTTCTCCATGGTTTAGTAGATCTTTCTTTCTCGGCGAACAGCAACTGCCTTCTCTACTGCCACTCAGCGCCAACGTCTGTTCTCTTCCGCTGCGGCGTTTCTAGTGCTGCGCTCACCAGCACTTCCCCACCTTTCTTCCTCGTTGTAGCTACCTCCTACCTCTTCTGCTACAGCTTCTTCCTCTGTTGCAACTTCCTCTTCTGCAGCTTCCTCCTCTTCTGTAGTAGCATCACTGTAACATTATTGTAGATTTCTCCTTTGTCGTTGCAGCCATAGCCGTCACAATCACAGCTGTCGCTGTCGTAGTTGCAGCTGTCGCCGTCGAAGTCGCAGCCGTCGCCGTCGCAATCGCAGCCGCCACCGTCGTAATCGCAATCGCTGCCATCACAGCCGCAACCATCACCATCGCAGCCGCAGCAACAACAGTACCGATCTGCTCTTGCATCGATCCAAGATTGGTGTCCTTGATAGGAGCACCATCTTCAATAATTCTTCTTTATCTTCTATTATTTCCATCAGTTCTCGTGTTACAAGTCCTACCATGCATGCATTACTTGTTTCCGATCCGAATTGATACATCATAGAGATTCATGAGCACTTGTAAAGACGTACAAACAAACATGGTTTCTATCTTTGTTTCTACAGACATGAACTCCGGTTCTGAATATTTATGAAATTGCAGTGCATTTCTACCCATATCACAAAAGGCTTGAGGAGCTAATGGGAAACCACACTGTTTATCATGACTCCATACACACAACAAGCATGCTTGTAGAACTAAGACCATGCTACTCATGTTGACAACATTGTTCCCATTACTTTTATCTCCCACAATCTTCAAGATTTAATGAAGTAGAAAGCATGACATCTCAGGCAGGTAAGACTTCAACCACTGGGCTTTCATGTCAAAGTATGAGAGAACAAGTTAGTAGTGATGATAATGAGAGGTTTAAGGACCGAAAAGATGTGTTGGATAACACAGCAAGCTTCCTATGTCACTCGTTATGTCACCAATAAGATAGTGCCTGCCATACTCGACAAAGTTGGTCACCGTAACAACGAAGTTTTATATGAGGCCGTAGCAGAATGGCAACATCAGAAAGAGACATTATGTTTTATGTAATCTACCATTCGATGCAATTGATGATCCAATTGGAAGGAGTACAAGTCTAGCAATCATTGCTATCTCGTACATGAAAGATCTCAAGAATGAGTCCTCTTCCTTTTCCTTGCCTTCTCTCTATATGTTTGAGAGCAACCATTCAAACAAAAGTAGCTCAAATGATAAGGTTTTCTCTCTCTCTCTCTCTCTCTCTCTCTCTCTCTCTCTCTCTCTCTCTCTATCTCTCTCTGTGTTGTGATGGTGTGAATATGATTTACTAATCGTATAAGGTTTTTAAATGCAACTCTCGTTGTTATACTAAGGAGATCATCTCATAGGCAAGGAAACATCAATCATGGAAATCTAGTTTGCTTTTAGGGACTTCAACTTATAACAAACATGACAATAACATCTTCCAATTTGATAATTGATTGAATATTTCAACCCGAAACTTCAATATTCTTGACATATGTAAACCATGGATATCTTTAATTATGTAAGACCAAAACAACAATAACTAAAGTACTGCCACAACCAACAGCAACATCAGTAGTCAATCACCAAAGATCAAGACTTGGTCAAGTAATATGTAAACCTCCATTACTTGTATTATTATAGACCAGTAAGCTAAAGTTAACTTAGCCTTACAAGTCTTTGCTCCAAAGTCTGCAATTGGTGTGAAGCCAAATAAACCTAAATTGGTGATTAGTCAAAATGGTCACTCTTTAAGCCACATATTATAAAAATGCATCACCAAAACTAAACCTAATTTGATTCTTATATCAAACAAAAAAGCACAAACAAAGACTAACATATCAGTAAAAAAAAGGATTTACCAGAACAAGTGAGTTCTGAAGAATGCTTATGGTTGAAGTAGCAGTCAAGAATTTGATAGGGAGTAAAGAAAAAGAAAGTAGAACATGTAGTGTGTCACTTGTCAATCAACTTTATGCTCTTCGCAGTTCCTCCTGAGCCTTACCAGTTTAATTTAAGCTGGTCTCTCCATCTCTCTTCCTGATAACTTCTCTGCCACAATGAGTCTTGGCAGATGCCACACCACTGTCACTGGTGGAAAGAAATGGAATGGTGGTCTCAAGAGACCACCAGTTCTTGACAGGTGCCGCACTTGCACTTGAAGCTAATCTTCACACCAGTCACACCTGAGACACGTATTCGGGTCTTGCTCCTCTTCTTTTCCTCCTCCAGCTTCTGCTCGGTCTTCTGCTCTTCATCTCCCTCCTGCCATGGTAGACATGCAGTTGATACAACAAAAGAATACACTAGATCGAGGTAACCAAGAAAGCTGCGTCACAACCAACGATCGAGATCGAATGTCGGACAAGACGACCAAAGAAAAGAAAGTGGAGAAGGCAAGAGAAGTGCGAAAGCCCTCAAACCTCCTCCTCCTTCTTCTTGTTGTTAGAATTGAGTTCCCACGCCGGACTTCGAGGAAGGTCCGGCGCGGTCGCCTCCGGAGGCGCCAGGGGTCCGGATGCCGTCGGTGGGACGATGGAGATGGACGGAGCGAACGGACTCTGCTGCCGGGGCGACGGAGTTCCGGCGTCGCTCTCATTCGGTTCGGGCACCCTGCCGGCGCCGAAAGAGATGGTCGGCGGAGAGGGGTTCGGCGGCTTCACTGCGGCGGTATCAGAGGCCTGATCGTTGGCGGCGGTGAGGGAGCAGTGGTCAATGCAGCCGGAGTTGGTGCGGGCGAGCTTGGCGGCTGGGGCGGGGATGGAGGAGCGGTCCATGGGCCAGGTGAACAGGCGGTCCAAGGAGGGCCGCCGGCGTTTGTAGCCGCAGTGGGGGCAGGGATCGGTGTAGCCCACCATCTCGTCTTCCTCTTGGAGAGGTCGAGTTCTTGGAAGGGAAGTAGGAGTTCTTGGAGCTCTGCGTCGTGTGAGATGGAGAACGGGGAGAGTCGTAAATGTTCTCAAGAGAAGCCTTTTATGGTGTGTACGGTACAGGACCGCGGTTGGGCGACCGTTGGGGTTTTCTGTTATCACCGAGCTTGATCAGATCAGGACCGTTCATTGGGGGCGATAGTGATGGTACGTCTCGTCCGCGTCATGTCTATCGCTGACCGGCTTACCCGGCCACGTCCCTGGGGGACCCACTGCGGGCTCCGCTGCAATCATCCAGATAAGCGCCTGCGGGGCCCACGACCTTCGTTGTAATTTCTTAATACTCAATGGCGAAGGCAGTATTTTGGTTTCTATCTGCCAAGAAAACTGCAGTTTCATTCATATTCTCCCACAGATGCCGTGAAGTATGACCAAGGAAAGATGACAATTGGAGGCAAGGCAGTATAGTCAACGGGAATACTACAAAAAGAGAACATCGGACAAAGGTTCCATCATCTCTCGTCACTCTCAATGAACAATGTCAAAGCCAAACAGTCTAAGATACATCAAGCACACGCAGCACATAATTAGTCCACAGAAACATGTTTCGGAAGTTGATTAGGAAGACAAACTGCAATAATACACAGACAACGTGGTCAGGATAGTTAAACCAATGCAATGCTGCTCTCACCACCGGGAGGCTTACGGACTCCGCCGAAGTAGTCTCGCGATGCCGCTTTCCCATCTGCAAAGATGTCGCTGCCGCTCATCTCCTTCAGTTTTGCCACACTCAGTGGCTTCTCGGCAGACCCTGGGGGTGCGTCTTCTTTGAATATGTCGTTGCCGGTCAGCTCTTGGAACTTCTGAGTGTGGATCTTCTTTGCAGTCTTGGCGACACTATCATCACTGAACATGATATTGCTAGGACCTCCAGCCGGCTAGAACACCAAACAAAAAGTGGAAGACGATTAGCAATTAAAGGGAAGACATAAAATGATAGTTTACTACAAAGTCGACCATCAAGTTAAGAATGCACTTTAAGTTAAGAATACAAAAATATTAAACCAAATGCTGGACATGAACCATTGGCGAAGGAAATGCCAGGAGAAATGTATGGTTATATAAATTATATGGTCTCTTGCAATCTAACAGATATGCATTGAAAGGATGACCCGAATGATAAATAATATGAACCATTCAGTATCATATGATTTATCATTCCTTCTTTATTCCTCTCTGAGCACAATTAACTTCGATTTAACAGATAAAGATAGCTATAAAATAAAATAAAAGTAAAAGCATATACAAGTAGATTCTCCATGTAAGCAACAATTAAAACATAAAAGAGCCATCATATAGCTCAGTCCATTAACATTATGAGTTTCAACTGAACAACCTGATCTCAAAGGAACATTTTTTTTAAATCAATTTCTCATCTTCGAAAAAAGACTGAATTTACTTGACCAACAAAAAATCATACAAGCAAGAGTTTCTGATGAAAAGTGTTAGCTATGCAATCAATAAGAGGTTTATAATCCAAATATAAATGTTCAACTTAGAAGCAGCCAATGGTCAACAATGATAATAAACACTAAGAGTTTGAAAATGATTGTCTATAAATCTCAGCAGAAAAAGCTAGCAATTTGAAAATGATTGTCTATAGAACATACTGCAGAGAAGTGATATGTTAAACTACCTATAAGCAAAATTCCTAAAATGCAAAAGGCCTTTAGGTATTATAAGATTGGAGGGAGTTAATTGAGTTGCTTTCTTGTATGGGTTATCACAAGAATAATGAATGGCCTCTTGTCCGTGGTGGCTGTCACTTAAGAATGCCTCGATGAGTGCATGGAGTAATTACAATGTTTTCCTCTAATATGCAACAGAATAAATTGATGTGAAGCAAATGCATACTGAAAGTTAAACTAATTTATGTCTAAGAAAACATAAAATATATAACACAGTGATGTTAACAACAAATTGTTCAGAAACCAGGAATCCACATTTGACTGATGAACTAACTCACATTAGATACTTTCACTGATGTATGTATGCTTCGAGGCTGTGGCAAGACGAAATCCAAATTCCCCCTTAGTTCCAAATTCCTTGCAGCTAAAGGCCTGGCCGGAACTTCAGGAGGAGGACCAAAGATGTCATGCCCACTAAGCTCTTTGCTCTTTGCTTCAGAGAGCTGCTTCTTGACTTTGGCATCAAGCTCACTCTCAGTGGTACCACTTAGCTCTCGCTGCTTTGCTACCTCAGCAATCGAAGTAGGCTTCTTTGGAGAAACTGCCTCGTCAGCACTAAATGATATTTGGCTAATTGCACTAACAGCTTGCTGATGGCAAAACATATAAATTAATTAATTTAGTTCCAGTATAATAATATCAACAACATATTCTAGATATTTGAGGATCATATACAAAGTCAACTCATCATAGGAGCATGCTTAGATTGACCAAAACCATTATTAAACAATGCCTAGAAAAAAGACAAAAATTAGGTACAACGGCATAAATATAGAACTAATAATTTGTTTGAACCATTCAAAATAGTTGATAACTTCTAGCCTAGAAAGTTGTCAAAGGAAAACAAACTGTATAGTTTCTAGGTTATAATTTTTGCTCTCGTTAAATAAACTGTATTGTCATTCCATCAAATTTTAAAAAAGGATAAAAGCATCAATAAGTCACTATCAATGGCAAATTGAAAATCAAAAATTAGATCCAAACAAAGTCAGAGAAGTTACCTGGCAAATTCTAACACTTGTCTTAGTATTATGATTTGAGACAGCATTACCAGATTCCATTATCGCATTCTCATTATCTGCTGCAAAGATACCACTGCCAGTCATTTCTCGCAGTTTTGAGCTTGAACAGGGTTTCCTAGAAAATACGAGGGTTTTTAGCTCACATAATCACATAAGGTAAATAATGAAAATGAAAACCAAATCATCTTCAGGTATAAATTTACAACAATATCCGAAGTTTAATTAAATATTTTATTGCTGGTGTTATCAGGAAATGTAACGCTCGTCCTACTTGCTAAAGCATAGCAATACCATACTTGCAGGGTAAGATACATTAATGTTTACACTTCCGTTTTTTAAGAAAACAACTGAACAAGACAAGAAAAAAGAAAGACAAAGGGATACATCTCAATACTAGAATGCAGGTCAGAAGTCAAAAACAGGACAGTCGAAACCAGTTTCTATGTGAGGCTGCAGTTTTAATCCCTTGGTTCACTGTGTTAACAACACCTTGATTTAGCCCCCACATTGGAAATGGACTAAGATTTAGAATGACTTACCAGGGTCTGATGGATGTATTATTATTGACTTTGGCCTAAGCATTTTGAGTTAATGATTTGAGCTCAACAAAGTCAAACATCCCATCAAGGCAGATTGTGATAGTGTTAAGGCTGTTAGCTGTAAGATTAACTGGTACAAGTGCTGTTAGCCACTTAGCTTGACTTCTGCTATGTGGATAGTGGGGTTCCAATGTTTAGTTGAGTTATGGTACACTTTGCATTTCTTACTTAAGGTGCTTACTACATTAGATTAGATAGTGTGCTCTTACAAATAAAATAACCATGTTAGTGGGCAAACAACAACTATAGTAGAGACTAGAAAAGAATTTCTTAGTTGTCAAGTGCTTTTGTTGTTTTGAGCTTGTTCCTACGAGGAATCAATTCTGAAATACCTCTGATGTGTTGTATTTAAAACCATTTATCTGCTGAGAATTTCTTTTTAAAATGTCAATTGGTAGCAATTCTTTTCAAAAAGACAGTCTACGGTCTTGTACTTGTCTTGATGTGTAATATTACAGACATATAGCATCTCATTTCCAAACAGAAAGATAGTAATCAACGAGACAATACTAGGATTTTCAATAGATAAAATATAAGTATGGCCTAAATAAAAATCGTTGCATAAACTCTCAAAGAAATATACCACTTCACAATAGCTATCATTCATACACTAAAAAAAAAATTAAACTAACATCTAATATAGATCCATCAGAAGAGTTCAAAAAGAAATAAATCATAGGGAAAAAAAGGGAGAGGGGAAGGGGGAGAAACAAAAGAGAATCCGTGGATCAAAAACCAAGCAGATCATTAGCACGAAATATGGTAGTGTCAAATAAGAGCTCGTTTCTTAAATATAGTAAATAGGCGTCAAGAAAAATCGAATCTTGCGAACAGATCAGGGAACCCGACAAACTAAAAGCAGATCTCTTCGACCGGTTAACCACATCCAAGAAAGCAACAGCAAAAGAGGGAAGTGGGCATTTCTTTCGTAAATAAATGGTCGCCTCATCGAAAGCAAACTAGGATCAGCCAAAACCCTAGCCACCAGACCGGATCTCTCACCTCTTGTTCAAGCTTTCCGCTTCCTCCGCCGACATCTGCGCCCCGAACATCACCGGGCTAATCCCTCCCGCCGGCTGTGAGAAGACACGAGGATAAACCCCAAGCCGCCGGGTAAGAAGAAAAAGCAGAACAATAAAGCAGGCATTTTCGGGCCGGGGAGGGGCGTGCATTCACCTTGAGAGTCCGGCGGGAGGCCGACACAGCCTGATCGATAGCTGCCGGTGGCGGCGTTTCAGACCATGTGAGCAGATCAGCTGTGGAGGTGTGCGACTTCCTCACCGGCGGACTCCGATCCATTTCTCCTCCCGCTATTTTGAGAGGGAATGGGCTGTGGAGTGAAGACGAAGTAGTGATAGAAAGAAGAAACGAAGAGCAGAGAGAAAGCAACTCTCAATTCTTTCTTCCTTTATCGACAAGGATCGAATCACCGCACCGTTTCATACCGCACCACTGCTCATGAATTAACGACCTTAACATTGTGCGATTAATTAAGAAAAACTTAGGGCGGTAGGGACACCGGAACCGGTGACTGGATCTCAAAGGACAACTCAGTGGACTTTACGCACGCGACGGCACGTGCGAAGTTGAATGGTGGATGTTATCATCCCAACGTCCTTTCTCACTTTGTGTTTCAAATATTGTGACTAGATTTGCAGTTTTGCCACCCCTGCCATTGATTGGTATCAGCATTCAACAGTGTCATTTAATAATCATTTATATCAGATGACAACAATTTATACTGCTATGAAACATAAATAAATATATTATGAAATTTAAGGGTTATGTTTAAGAAGTACTTCACAAAGTGTACTTTTTGATTTTATGGAGCACATAAGGGAGAGAAAAAAAGAGAAAGCCAAATAGAGATAATGGAAAAGTCATTGGCAGTCTTCCACTTCCAAGCTGCTACTGCTGATGACAGCAGGGTTGAAGCTGTGTGTGTGGAAGACACCTGACAGAGAGAATCCCTTTGAGATCAAGCAACTTAGAATTCAATACAGTAGGTTCTGTACTGGCATAATCCTTGTGCAGGGAGATGGCTCAGGTTTTCTGGGTGTTGTTGGGATCAAAGCTTGCATGTGGTTCGTGTGATGTCTTCTTCTCCCCTCTGCCCTACAAAATGATACCAGGTCATAACCTAGACTTTACAGACAAGTTATTGTCTCAGGACCTCATTTAGCTTCTAAGTTAAGCAGCAACTTGAGACTGAATTCCACCAACTACAACAAGTCACAGTATCCTTGCATGAAACAGTACCTTTGACCAAAAAATTGGAGCTTTCAGAGCAATTGAGGCAGCAGTACCAGAGAAAAGAAAATGAAATTAGCAAGTGATTTAAAGAAAGTTTATAGCTTTTGTACAGAGACATAAGATTGTATGATATGAAACAAAAAGTAAAAAATGGTTTGAACCTAACATCACATTCATTGACACTCTTTTGCAGACACTTTTTTTTTTGGACTTTATATTGACAGCACTGACCAATATCCATTTTTCAAATAAAAGTTGCAATAGAATAAAGAATAGAACACAAACAGATTGGAGCTATTGGAAAGAGCACACACTTTGAAGTTTGAAGTCCAAAAACAATATTTTAATTGTATCAGCTGAGTCCAGAGATTGTAAACTGAAATAACTGCTGCATTATTAATAAGATAAAAAAGTCCTGCAACTGCAACAATGTCAAGGATCAGGAAAGGCCAACTAGAAGACACAAAAGGTTAAAGATCAGATATGTGGAGTCAAGAAGCACAAATAAAGACATCAAAAGTTCACACAGATCGAAGATTCCCATAGAGAAGAAGACAAGAGATTTAAGGACACAACAAAAGAAAATTTGACGTCACATGTATGACTAAAAGAACTTCTTGTGTAATCCAAATGAGTAGGGAAAATATAAGATTGTTCATGTTTAGAGATTAAAGAGTTGGGTTGGATAAATTCATGTTGGTCTATGTTACATCAACCTAAGCTGTGGGATTATAACAGTGTCTGACCTACACCTGTATCCATGTATTCATCAATGGGGAAGCTAATCATCAACCAGCAGCGTAGCACATGAAGCCAATCTGGAGCTTAGGAATCTATCCATTTCATGTGTACAAAACCTTGTTATCTGTAGAACAAGTTCTGCAAATGGAGGGCTGCACGCACCAAAGACAAAATTGTCATACAAATAAGGAATTTTGTAGATAAGTAAATATGAAATGACTGAATACAATTAGTAACTCTCAACATATCATCATTTATGTGAATTTAGTTCGGGCATCCTCCCCATGCAATTATTATCGATGCTTGAGAATTAGGCCATTTGTCTCATAAAAATAATAGAATTGGCAAAATAATTCTCTTCTTCATGAAGTCCTAATCAAGAATACGTGAATCGTGTTTTATTGAACTTTAAATTAGTAAGCAAAAAAATCCAAAGGAAAAAAATGATAATTTGGTTGTCAGGATTGATATGCAGTTTACGTTAGATTGTCATATTAACAATTTTGTTCATAATCTTCATGATTATGCTACTTCATTTAAATTATAATAAATATATTTAAAAAAGCAGTATAAGACTAGATTGCCTAACATGCATATTGGTAGCTGGTCCATTCCAAAAGATGGCCATTTCCCATGATGAGAACAAGAAAGGGTGCACTATTTCAGTGGAGAGGTCATGATAATCAATAACAAGAATGCTCACAGAGGAAAGCAGGAGCCAGAAATTACCCATGACAGATCTAAAGCTCGAAAAAGGATTTCTGAGAGGTCCCATATCTTTCGACCTAACTCTCCTCCAGGTGAAGTTAACAAATCCAGTGAGAGGTCCCATATCTTTCGACCTAACAGAAGACATTACAAATCCAGTGAGAGGGCCTACGATGGCAATGATTCCATGGTCCCTGTGCAAGAATAATAATGTGATTTTTCATGACAACGTTGCCAACTTGACCAGATCTTTCACTTGTGCTGGCATGCACTTCATTCAGATGGAACCATCATTGATTTAATCTATAACAACATTATTGGAGTATGTTTTATCTCCTAAGGTTTGCAGCTCAGTGCATCAGAAAACCCAGTGGAAAGTGATCAAAAGTATCATTATATGACCAAAGACTAAGAGCTACATAGTTCATGATATGATTCCATTGACCTTGTATTCATTATTTAATGACTGGTTCCACATAATTTGATGGTGCTACAAATACAACATATCTTTTATTGATCGCGGACAACTGAGTTTGTGATTCCGTAAAATGAATCCTTTGCATATTTTTAACAAATAGGATTAGCTTTCTTCGGGAAAAACGTTATAACTCTCTTCCCATCCAACCGGTTGATTCATATAATTCCATCTATTAAATAGTTGACTGGATTTTTTGGTGGACATAATAATGATATGAAGGGAACTTTTAGTTATGTTAGATATTGGTTTAGGTATATTTTCTTCGAGTTTAAAAATGCAGTAATAACAGTGACACAATCTTTTGTAGAAGTCGAAAATGTTTCAACATCGATTGCCACTTCTCAAGCAAGTTGGCTAAGGAAATTTTTGATGGTTTCGGAGAAAGTAAGTCGAAGGAATAAAGATCTGATGACAACAATTCCTGTTTATCATAGTCGTCAAGCCAGATTGCGTTTAGACATTTTTTTCCATAAGGCAAGCAATTGAAGAAGGCGACAACCAAGAAGAATGAAATGAAATAGTCTAAGTTCTTCCTATCCTCCAATTTGGATCCAATTCTATGTTTCCAGTCCTACAAACTACATAATATTCATCAGCAACTCTAACATTATGTTCAGTTGTCAACCAAAACAGCTGCGTCCAAACTCTATTTTTTGGAAAATAGCTATAAGCAAGAAATGATTGAACAAAGGACTTCTATGTGTGTCATACATTGTTTGTCAGATACACTGAACCCACATAGTGGAATTATGTTAGCATATGCAAAAACAGGAATTAATGCAAACTACAAGATCCAATTTTTTGGAGCCAAAATCACCTCCGCATTTCCAGATCTTAACGAAGCAAACCCACCGACATCAAGTCATACCGACTAAAATGTGACTTACAAATCAAGGTAAATCTTCAGGCACGCACCTGGGGGAAGGTGGCCGAGGCCCAGAGGAAGGCGCCGAGGGCAGCGGGTGGGAGTGTACCCGGGGTGTAGCAGGAGTACTGGACGAAGGAGCGGAAGAGAGTGAGGGAGCTGAGACCCTTGGGCGAGGCCTGAAGCGCCGTCCCCACCTCGTCGTCGCACCCCACGACCGCCGCTAGTTTCACCGGGACCGGACAGACTCTGTTGCTCTGCCGCCACCAGTCTGTTTCTAGAAGCGGAATTATTCTACCCGTCACTAGCTACCCTTATGCTGAGTGGTCGAACACTGTGGGTCCCAATAGTTGCTCTTACACCGTGGGTCGAACACTATCTACCCTTTTTTGTGTGTGTGTAAATATGGATTTAAAAGCTTCTCTTTGTGACTCTCCTAACTCAAATTGGATTACTCTTATAATTGCTTGTTTAATTTCCTATTAAATTTTGATGAGAGACTCAAATTATTTTTTAATTAATAAAATAATTTAAAATAATAGTGTATTAATATCCTATTAATAAAGAGATGAGGATTTAAGGTTAAAATGGATTTTTAGTTGCCCAAATTTTAATTACCTATAATTGTTATGACAGTCATTTTAAAAAAATAAAAAAAATATATTATTACATCAAATTATATACTCAAATGTAACTCCAACATGAGACATATCACTTGTATAACATCATACTAATGCACTCGATTATCTCAACAGAAATATTATGCTAATTAGGATATAGATTTTTATATCAAAAGCATAATGTTAAAATGTTAGTTAATATGTTAGTAAATCAAAATCATGATGTTTAAGTGAAATATGGTTTTTACTTTACTACATATCTTGTTTGATTGATAGCAATTGGGATAAATATGACTTGTTGCCCCCAAAAATAAGATGGTATTGATGAGAAGAGATTGAGGATTTTGGGTTTCAGATTACATTTGATATGCTAAAACTATTTTTAGAATTAATGGATAGTGACAAATTACTTGTTCCTAAACCAATAAAAAATAATTTAAGAATTAATTGATAATTTAATAAAAGAAAACATTCTTGGGAAATTATTGATTAATTTGATTTTGGACAAATAATTGGATACTTTGTTTGGCCTATAAGCTTAGTTTTGTTCATATGATTCAGAATTCCTCTCCTTTGTCTTTCTTCTTGTATTTCTTTTATCAAAAAATGCACATTCCTTGTAAGTATTAGTAAGAATTTAGTATATCTTATGTAGGAAAATCATCCCTAATAAATGTTGATTTAGTGAGAATAAATCCTGAAAATTATGGCTTGTTATTGTTGCATGATGAAACTAAGCTTGCTACTATGTAACTCTACCTTGATTTCTTACAGTAGAGTAGTAGAGATGAATTCAAGACTTAAAAACACCCATATACTTGCATTTGTAGTTTAGCATGCAATTCCAAATCATCAAGTGTACATTGATGAATTATTAGACAACTTCATAAAATAAAAATCAAAGGAGTGAAAAAGAAAGATCACTATGTACTTTCCTAAAACCTAGTAGATTCTACTCCCTTCATATCTAAACAAAAAAAATTCCCTGCATCCTTTACCTATGTCACATCCTATGTACATAGGACAAAGAAGGTTGTGAGCTAGTAGATAGGAGTCTCATCAACCAAATCAAAGGGAGATGTGAACTTATTGGAGAGCTTTTATTCTTTCTCATGCTTCTTAAAGATAAAAAATGAGCTTTTCATTTAATTAATTGTCCAAATTCTTTACCTTTTGTATAAAACTTTTAGTTTTCTTTGCCATGAGAACTCATAACTGGACTGAAGCAAGACTTGAAATTTTATTTTGGACCTTTCATCACCAGGAATTTTGCTTAGGTTTTTATACAAGTTCTTTCTAAGTCTTGGTCAAAGTTGTGGTACACTGTCAAAAAGATAAGACAAATATGAATTAGGGCTAATGATTCAATTGTACTGATGGTCATGTATATGAGTGTCATGTGTCTTGATGATTTAATATGAAAAAGCAACAGAGTCACTTTTGTATATGTAATCATGGAATAAGGTGAGAGTGACTGATAGGCTACTAGTCATCATTGTAGAATAAAAGAGTTTATGAAGGTAAATCCAGGATATCTTCCTCAAATTGCTTATTGAAATCATCTACTTTTCATATAGAGTTTCTCTGTTATGTAGTTTTGTTCTTTGCATTCTTTTTCACATTGTTAGAACTGTTTTTTACTCCCAAAAAAGCCAAAATAACAACAAAAATCTCAGATAATCTAAACCATCAATCTTGCATTGCTGCAGTTTCTTGTGACTAGGGTGCCCCTTTTATTTTGTTCTGTCAAAGCATTTTTTATTTGGGTTTTCTCCTCTTGTTTTTTTCTCTCTTTCTTTCTGTACATTTAATTTCACAATCTTATGAAATCATTGGTTGGAGGTTTTCCCCATTCATTATGCACTGTGAAGCCTACCAATCTTTCCAACATAATTATTTGTTCACATGAGGATCCCACAACCATGGTGAGCTACTAATCTCAGTTTGAACTATCTTGTAATTGGCATTATGTGATCAAGCAGCCCACTACTAAGACTCTGCTACCAATGTGTCTTAACTGGAATGACTGTGATACATGCCTTCTCCATCAGCAGTTTCAAGTTTCTTTCAATTGGCTTTTTGTCATTGAGGAGTCCACTGATAGACTCTGCTACCAGTCTGCATTTTATCAGAGATAACCAATTCACATCCTTTCTCCATCTTGTCAGGCAAATTTGACTATTATTCTGCAGGGAAATAGCCATCTAACTGCTCAGAAAAAATCATTTGACAAGCTTCATGGTGATTTTACCTTTCTGAGTTATAGTAAGTAGGGTATAGCTTTGAGACATAATATGTATGTAGAAGAAGCTAAAACCAAAAGAAAATGTAGAAAAACAAAATTGTGAATCATCCATCTCAGTTGACCGGTCAAGCAATGTCTCTAGACTTGTCTCTGGTCTGGTCAAACCAGGCATTGTTAGTCTAAGCTACAAGTCAAATGCTAGGATCTTATTCACTGGCCTGCTCTGGTCAGCTTGCAGTCTGCTTTCATTTTGGGGTTTGTCATAGAGTACATTTGCTAGTTCATAAAGTAAATATTCTCAGCAAAATTCATGATTGTTATGCCCTCCAAAATTATTAGATGTCATATCAGGTGGACTGTAAATTGAAGTAAAGATAAATTTGTGGTTCTATCAGTTCAGATGTATAAGCTAAACTGATGAATAAGAAGGTGAGAGAAATGAATGGCAGGAGTTGCCCATTCACATCTTTCCAGTAATTCTTGTTTGCTGTATCACACCAAATGCTGGTGCATGAGTAAATGCTTTTCTTAGAGGGTGGAGTGTGGCTTCCACTTCTTGTCAGCCTTTTCAGCAAGAACTGAAAAGCTTTGTATCTTTTAGGTTGGCTCTAACTTGTAGGACTTCTGAGGAGGGAGGGCCGGTGTTTGGCTGGGGGAGTTGGGAGAGCCCCCACACCCTGCCTTGAGCAAAGACTCAACAGTCTGCCTCACAAGACCCACAAGGGGAGGGGGGGAAGTGAGACATCATTGCGAGAGAACAGATTATTCCCTGCCATGGCCACTATGATTTCATGTGACACCCATTATTATTCCCACTTTTGTTAAATCAATCAACTTTGTGCTTGAAAGGTATGCACATCTCCCTCTCACCTCATTGCTCAATCTTCCCATAACCCCATGGCTAATCAGCTGTCCAGATCATTCTGAAAAGAAGTGCGAGAAGGATACTTGGTATCATGCCTACGGTACACATCTCCCTCGTTCTCAGAGAAGAAAACATGATCAGAGATTGACATATCTTGGAACAAGGGAAACAGTGTTGGATTTTATTCTCAAGGGGACAGTGACCCGTGTGGTCTCAATTCATCCTTCTTTTCGAACTTTTGGTCCCTTCAGAAATATGATGTAAGAAGTCGCGTTTGTGGATATATTACTGATCTGATGATCCATACGCTTCCAAGCATGATGTATCTGATACCCGAGACACAGGTATGCTGGTGATGGAATGGGAACGGGAATGGGGTTCTGACTGAGCTCAGTGAGATCTTCGACTCGCATAGGGGAAGAATGCTACGTTGGATACTAGTCTCCGGAAACGCTACCAATGAACAGCCGTAGCAGAAGTTGACTTTGGTCTCTCTCTCTCTCTCTCTCTCTCTCTCTCTCTCTCTCTCTCTCTCTCCAGAGAAGTTATAACATTAAGCTAATGCATGGCCTTCTCTTGATTCATTGTTTCCGATAGACAGATGGTGGTTGGGACTGCTGTTGTTTATTGGGTGGAGTGCGTTCTTGGGGAACACTTCATGTGGAGCAGTTCCAAAGGAAGTTTCCCTTCGCTCATTTCTTTAAGCCTGGAGGTATTCCTGTTCTAACACCTAGAGATTCTGCTCATGATTCCCCAAATCTCGCCACCAATCACTCCCACAACATGATCCAAACTCACATATATTATAACAGTCGTTGAAACCAAGGAACGACATGATGCAACACAAATCTTTCCTACTCGACCAAGCATGACACAGTTGCACTACTGCACCACAGTGTCTTTCTCTCTCTTCCATCTGAAAGAGCATTGTCTTTTACCCTCCACCACTGTTCTCAGACATGTCTTCCTTGGATACAAAAATGGCCATCAAGATATCTCACAAGAGAAATCCTATATTCATATACACAATCTATGAAAGATAAAACGAGTCATGGATGCAAAGTGCCTTAGCAGTTGAATAACAGATGCAGTCAAGAGCCCTAATCTGCTTCCTCTTTGCCTCCACGACAAAGTCTTCTCTATCTGCTAATCTGAAGAAAAAATCCAGGAGTCCATCGCACCTTCACTCCTCGACGCTGTGGCGCGCTCCGACCCTTGCTCCGCACTGCACTCCGATGAACCCGGCGCCAAGTAGTTCAGCTTGCAACTGCTCATTCCTTGCTGCGAGCCACTGGAGTTTCCTGCAGAGATCGGACTCGACCGAGCACGATCGCCGGCCTCTGTTGGGTACCCGTTGGTCCATCTCGATTGCTCGGCTGACGGCATAGGAATTTGAGGCTTTGTGCACTTTGCGTGGAGAAGGGATTGCAAGGTAAGCATGTGGTTTTGGGTGCTCAGAAGTGGTTGGCTTTTGCTGCCATATGCAAGAGTAGGTGAAGGCAATTGGTAGTTGTTGTTGTTATTAGATGGATTAGCACTACTACTAGTAGTAGAAATTCGAGCTGAGGCACTGAGACTGGAATCGAAGATAGTACTGTTAGTAGCAGCAAAGCTTGTGCTAGCGTTAGAACCAGTGGTAGTAGAAGAAGAACAGATGGCGGGGGCAGTGGTAACAGTAGTGGTAGTTGTAGTTAAGGTAGAACCTTGGACCTTAGGCTGGAAGGGCCGGAGGAGGAAAGGCGGCGGCGGAGGGGCAGAGGTGGATCCAAAGGCAGCAGCGGAACGGAAGACGTTGAGGAGTGATCTGGCAAAGGGGGACGAAGACGTAGCGGTGGGGGCGATGTCGAACGGAGGAGATGGTATGCCGGTAAATTGTTGCACCATGGCGCGGAAGTTGGAGGTGTCGGTGGTCAGCACCGTCGTCTGCGCCCGGCGTGAGGCTCTCGACCGCTTCTTCGAGCTCCGTGGCGCGGCGGCGGACAGGTCGGGCGGTTGCACCGGCGTCGGGTAGTTGACGTCGGGCGAGGAGCAGGAGGGGGTGGTGGTGATGGAGGGAAAGACGCCGACATTATGGGAGGCGCGGAGGGCGCGAGGCGGCCAGGAGGGGGTGGTGGAGGTGATGGAGTCGAGGTAGGAGATGGGGTCGAAGAAGTGGTGGTTGTGGACCGAGGAGGAGGGCGGTGGCGGTTGCGGAGGCGGAAGCGCGGCGGCGGCGGTGGATCGGAAGAAGGCAGAAAGGGAGTCGGCACTGCTTGAGTTGAACTCATTGCCTTCGCCGCTGGAGGACTGAAGGCTCCCGCTGTTAACCGAGTCCATGAGAGGTCAGGAAGAGAAGATAATATATAGCAGTAGCACTTAACAGAGGGAGGCAAAGAGAGAGGAGGAAGCCATGATTACAGAAAGAGCATAAAGCACTAGAAAGAAGAAGATATTTTGGATCTGTAGTGCTCTGGTAGGAGCCATGGATCTAAGAATGGGCTGTGGAAGAAGCTTTGAGGAGGAGGAGAAGGAGGAGAGTGGAGAGGGGAATAGTCAAAGAAATAAAGAGAGAGAATGAATGAAGGGGGCTGTGGCGTTGAGGAGAGATAAAGATTGAGGAAAGGTAAGGATGGCTTGCTATAGCTTCTTATTTAACCATCTCAGGAAGAAAGAGGGAGGGGAGACTTCTACTCAGCTTTACACTCAAAAAGGCCAACGCCCAAAGATTGAAACCATGGTGGTGGCAGAAAGAGTCAGATAGTATACAGTCAAAGTAAGAGTGAGGAGATATATATATATATATATATAGAGAGAGAGAGAGAGAGAGAGAGAGAGAGAGAGAGAGAGAGATAATAGTAGGGAAAAAAAGAAAAGTAACATTGAAAGGGTTGGAGGCAAGACATAAACAAATGAGGAGAGGGAGAAAGAAGAGTGCAACATTGATGTGATGAGTTAGGGGAATTTGTAGAAGCTGCACTACCACTGAAGGGACTATGAAACAACTTAATTGTGCTAATTATCATCTCTCTATATGAACCTACATGCATTGGTATTACTAATACATCACACCTATGACCCCTACAGCACAACTACAAAAGAAGGACCAAATGCTTGACATGACCATTGATGGAATTGAACCTAACAAGAATAATCTTCACTTGCATCAAGTTGGGGGTATGATGATTCTGTCATCTATGAGCTAAATTCCATGGGAAATTGATCAGTCTGAGCTACCTGAGTGGACTCCATGAAAGGCCATTTCTCTCAGTATCAGATTCTGGATTTACACCTATACTAGCCCTACTCACTCTATGTATTATTGGATAGCATAGTTGAATTAAATACAAAAAGAAATGTGGTGGGCAAATTATGATTAATGTTCATAGTGATCAATGGTGAAGGACTTTGATAGGACTGTTTGGTGGCAACTTCACTCCCACCTCCATCCCTTTTGACCTAATCCTACCTCGACTCTGATGTGGGGATTATTCCTTGTCTATGTTGCATGTAGCACTCTCACTCCATCTTTTTCTCTTGCACATCCTTTGCAAAGACCCCATTTTTCTACTCTAATCATCAAAACTTTCCCACCATCTCTTTGGTTTGGAATTGGAAGGTCAGATTGGTTCAACTAAAGCCCAAATTTACTACAACCATTAGTAATTTTATATTCTCCCGATCTCGGACCTCTAAACATCTAAGCTTAGCATATCGACACATCGATACGTATCGAGCTAAAGATAAATTAAAAAAAAATACTAATCAATAAAAATTCTATACCACATGATATAGACCTTATATATCGGACGATATAGGTCTTTATACCGAATATATCGGATAAATACATTCAACCTACTCAGACTGTATATTTGTATATGCTGCCTATTGAATGGTCAGCTTGTCTCATTGTATAATACATTGAACCTCCTCAGACTTCACTTGGAATATATTGCATGTGGACTGTGGTGGTGGCCATATTGCATCCTGTGTTGGATCCATATGTCCAACAGAGACTAGTGACCAAATGTACTGCTGCCTTCCAAGTACCAGCAATCCATGGGGAGAATGGTTTGGTGGAAGGCTATGGTTGCCCCAATACCTGTTGGGCACATACAAAGTCCACTATCTCCTCATATTCAAAATTTGAAGATGTGAAGACAACTTGTATGACACAAAGCCTAATGTAAGACAAAGTCATCTATCAAACTCCACAATTTGATCATAAAGCATGTTTATTTTTTTTTATGCTTGTGCTATGGTTCTCAATCCCTTTTCTTCAGTTAATGGTTTTTTGAGTTTGTGCAGTGAGGATGTGTACCTTTCAGTCTGAAAGAAGTATAATATATGCACAGAACATTTCACTGGGTGTGGTACTTTTGTATCCTGATATCAAAAACAAGTCAGGTTAGAGCTCATATGTTTCTGCAGTTATGGTGTGCTTGTTGTATCAACTTGATTTCAAATCTTTGTGCATACAAGTAATGATCATAGTTTTCCTTTTCCTCATTCAAAATTTCCAGAATCTATCAGTTTACAACATAATGTTTAATCTTCTTTAGGTCATATGGTACCATAAAATATATAGTTCAGTAGATTTAAACTTCACATCTTATGGAATGAGCTAAAATTACTTTTCATGTATGACTTTTTAAAGTTTTGCTCTCATCATTTTCAGCCCTAACCTATTGCAGATTGTATCATTATTTCCAGCACAAGTTATTCTGCCTACTTATTTCTTTATTAGGTCAGTGTGAGAAGATACCTAAAGATTCATCATTCCAGGTTGATCTGTATAGCCAAAAAGTTCATGAGCTTCTTATATATCATTTACAGGATCTTTTCTAATGAAGAAGATGATCATTTTCAGCCCTACCTTAATGCAGGAGAAGACAACTAAGAGACTCTCTTTGTAGAATCTTTTCGAGTAGAGAAAACCAAGGACATAAGGTAAGAAAACAAGGCTCCTACAGGCACTTCCTAAAAGATTCAAAGCATCCGGTAACCTCTAAGGGTTTACGTCCGTCGCTGCCTTCCCTCTGAGCTTGATGTCTTCAACAGTACCACTGTTTGACACTGTGCCATTACCTGTCTCGGAAAGTAAGGAGCAAATTTTGACCCACTGCCTACCTCCAACATTCAAAGATCTCGCAATCTTCTTAGAGAATTCCACAAGTCCTACACGGAACTATAAATGAAGTTACTGTCACAATATCACACATATTTATATACTGTATGTTACTGCAAGAAGGTTTCCCTTAAACTTGCTTGTTTCATTCCTCTCAACTTCACTCTCTGCATCAAAAAGAAGAATAAAAGATGGTGGATTCTGTCCTAAGTTTGATTAAGCTTAGCTTTAGTTTAAGGAAAGCTTTATAGCTATCTATATATACATATAATTATTTCATCTTTCTTAGGACAAAGTGATTATGTCATAGTGAGAATGTGACAATTTGTGCAACCAAAGAACTCTGTGTGTTCACTCAATTGCAACTCTTTCTTTTTTTGGGTCTTTTTGGTGGGATAGATGTTGGTAAAAACTGGATTTATAGTACAAAAGGCTTGATACACTTAATCTTGAAACTTTGGAGACATGCTTGGATCTGATCAATCCTTTCAGAAGTGATGGGATTGGATAGCTGAAGACCTTCCAAAGAGCACTATGGAGCAGAAAAAACAGAGCCAGAAAGATGGATCAGATCTTTTCTGTTAATATGTCTTCCAAATATGAACATAAAAGACTTTGGTGCAGCAGCTGAGGTAAAGGTCATGAGAGCAGGAACATCTGAGCTTGCACTCTTCTTCTGTTCCATTCTGTGCAGCTACATCCCATTCCAGACAAGAAGAATTCAGATAAAGTCTGCATTGCTATCCTAAAAGCATAGCTCAAACCCCACCAAAGGCAACATCTTGACCCCACCAACACTTTTATGATTCTCTCGCTAGCATAAAACATATCCGACAATGAAGAGAAAACAAACACATTCTATTCATGCTACCTTCTAATAACACTGAGCATTACTAATGTGAGAGAGAGGAGACAGATAGTGTGTGAGCCACAAAAGATTCTGTACATCTAATTCAATTCCAAATCAAACCATCTCTATAGCTTGGCTTTACCAAAACAAAAGGGGGGGAAAAAGAAAAGAAAAGAAAGAGAAAGACAAAACCACACTCAAACATATCACATATGCATATGTTCCTTCTCAAGAGGCTCAGAATGAAGAAAGGAAGAATATGTCACCCTCTGCAAACATGATGTGAATCATCATCACCACCTTGCTCTTATCATCTATTGCCAGCTTCGACTCCTTACCAAAGATACCAAAAACATAACCAGGCCAAAACAAGAATGCAGAATTCATGAGTTACATGCCATGAACAAGACAAGTAAGTTCATGCAAGCAGCTAAAGGCAATCTTTATTACTGTCCTCTCACAGGTATGAGAAGGTGGGTCTTCTTGCTAGCAAGCTGAATACCTCCTGGTCTTTGTTCTGATAGAGAGACCAAAAGAATAAACATAGAGCCAAGTGCAGGAAGTGGAAGCACATGATCCATGTTTGATGACTGCAATCTTGTTAAGTTGTAGAAGATACACAAGTTAGTGAATCAAGCAATCGAAGCAAGGCCAAGGAGAAATGTAGAAGATGTCAATGTCAACTATTTGGAAGTTCTACAGATTGTTGAAGATAGCAAATCAGGTCAAGCTGGCCAATTGCAAGGCTCAGCCCTTGAATTGTATAGTTCATGGACTGGACTTCCTTGCAGAGATCAAAATGATTTGGCATTCTTTGATCTATTACATGACTCTATTTCCAAGCCAAAATTCTAAGGGATGCAGAGACATCAAAGCCCAACCCACCTAAGGTTTTTGGTTGGATGTGTTGTGCCAATCAATAAAAATTAGACCTTTAAATCTAAAGTTGAGTAACGCAAAAAGATATCCAAGAATCACAAGTCACGATTGGCGCAAAAATTCAACATCACATCGATCAATTTCTATCAAGAAATAACATCAACTTTGACATTTGTATCATTTTCGGATCCAATATAGCTTGGAACAAGTCGAAGGAGAATTGTGTTTTCACCTAAATTTAGACCGATTACCTTAATAGTATTGACGAACGATGATGATCACAAATTATATTAACAAGAGGAGTTCTTCAGCTTTCGATCAAAAATCTCTTGAAATCCTCATATACTTAAGCAAATCTTATCAATCAATCAATACAAAGAAATGGACACTAAATTCGGTCACCTTTTGTGTACTCGGATGGTTAGTCGTCCAATTACAGACGTCCATTCCGCCTTACACCCAGCGTGCTGAATGGGTAGATGCGGCGGGTACGGAAGAGACGGGTGCGAATAAAAACATCGGTCGCCACCGCGCCGCCGCCACAAAGTATGCTGGACATAGTAAAGTGACTAATTTACCCTCGTTATCAATGCAAACCCTAAGGGCATTTTAGGTCATCATGTCAGCTATAAGTTCCAAGTGGGTCGGGCTAGGGTTTCTGTCTCTCTTTGCAAATCGATCTCGAAGGAGCGCGGCGGCCGCCGATCTCTCCATCTCTCCTCGGCTCCCTCTTCCTTAGGGTTAGATTTCTTCTCATGCGTATTACATTCTCTTGTCAAGATCGTAGGGGGATCTCGTTAATCGCGATTTCCGAACGTTCCTTGTTCGTTTTTCATGATTTGGTTGTATTTTTCGTTCGATCCAGGTAACTTAGATCTTTTCAATCGTATTTTTGTTCCTCTCTCGTGATTTGGTTGTATTTTTTGTTTGATTCGGGAAACCTAGATGTTATCGATCGCGTTCTTGTTCCTCCGTTGTGGTTTGGTCGTTTATTCTTCTGATCTGTAGGAAGCTATTCGGTTCTGTAGAACTTAGATATTATCAATCGGTTTCTTGTTCCTACGTTGTGGTTTGGTAGTTTATCCTTCAGATCTGTAGGAAGTTCTGCGTTTCATCATGGGCTTAAGCTTGTTTGTTTGTTTGATTTAAAGTTGATCAATGGGACGACTGTTAAAGATTGTTCGATCTTGATGATTGCTCTTTAATGATCCAAGATGTATGATTCGTCGTAAAACTTAGATCTTATCACTCGTTTTCCTTTCCCTACGTTGTGGTTTGGTAGTTTATCCTTCCGATCTGTAGGAAGTTGTGTTTCTTTGATGGTTTAATCTTTTGTTTGCTTGATTTAAGGTTGATCAACGGAAAGAACTGTTAAAGATTGTGGAATCTTGATGATTGCCCTTTAATGACCGAATATGTATGATTAGTCATACTTTACAAGGTTCCAAAGAAACCACATCTTGTCATACTAACTAGAGACAAATCATTTTTAGATTTCGTTAGTTGAAGTTTCTTGAGCCGCTCATCGTTCTCTTTTTTTCCAATAGTATATTTTTTTTTGTTTTTGTTAAAGATAAATTAATTAACTATTATTATTTATTATTATTATTATTTTTAAGTAGTTGATAATGCAAAGGTATTAAAGATAAAAATTTTGTGCTTTTTAATCTTTTTTTAATGTTGTGTTGTTGTTTTGTCTAGTGTCGAAACCTATTACCAAGTATAATTATTGGATCTAACAATTTTATGGTGAATAAGTAACACAAGCATTAATAGAAAATTGTGATAAAATAAGACAAAATACAACATGGAAATTAAATTTCCTTTTATTTACAAAATATAGGAAGAAACTTCATGACTAAAAATGAGTTAGGGTATGCTTTCATAGGCATGGTAAAACTTGCAATTACTCTATACTAGTTTTTCCTCCCCTTCTCTATCTTGGTGCCTTGATCTTTTGTGGTCTTGCTTGTACTTAGTTTGTGATCTCTTCCTTATCTTTGCTTGTAATTTCTCTCCTATTATGCATTTGACTATTAGGTATTGTAATGCTATATGAAAGTTGTGGTTATTGTTGAATGTAATTTAGGTATTTGGTAATTTATGATAAACATTGTTGTATGATACAATCTGCTTGTACATTTTTGTATTTATCATTTACCATTCACTTTGATGGACATATATAACCATCTTTAGGAGAGGTTATCAGTTATTTTTTTGTATATATTGACTTTACATTCTTCTAAATTGTTTTTTTAATTTCTAGTGACATGTTACCCTATGTGATGGCTGTAGTGACTGCTTTGTTATATTGTATAATGCAGTAGGCTACAGTGCTACCATCTATCTGAACTTATCAAATCTGCAATAGTTGACCACTGTGCTACTATATTAATTTTTTGTTGTCATGTAATTCGGTTAAAGCTAGTTTTGAGGCTGATATATTCTTGGTTGACATTTTACAGTCCTTAGTTCAACAAGAAATAAGCAATGGGAAAGGAGAAGGTTCACATTAACATTGTCGTCATTGGCCATGTCGACTCTGGAAAGTCTACAACAACTGGACATCTCATTTACAAACTTGGTGGCATTGACAAGCGTGTTATTGAGAGATTTGAGAAGGAAGCTGCTGAAATGAACAAGAGATCATTCAAGTATGCCTGGGTGCTTGACAAGCTGAAGGCTGAGCGAGAACGTGGCATCACCATTGATATTGCTCTGTGGAAGTTTGAGACCACGAAGTACTATTGCACAGTCATTGATGCTCCTGGTCATAGGGATTTCATCAAGAACATGATTACAGGAACTTCTCAGGCTGACTGTGCAGTTCTCATCATTGATTCCACAACTGGTGGTTTTGAAGCAGGTATATCAAAGGATGGACAGACTCGTGAACACGCACTTCTTGCTTTCACTCTTGGTGTCAAACAGATGATTTGTTGCTGCAACAAGGTAATTTTGCAATGTGATTGCATGTGGTACATGATGCTTTTGTTATTTAAATTTTGGTTTTTTAAAGGATTATGATATTCTTTTTTCAGATGGATGCCACAACACCCAAATACTCGAAGGCACGATATGATGAAATTGTTAAGGAGGTCTCGTCCTACTTGAAGAAAGTCGGCTACAACCCTGATAAGATTCCTTTTGTGCCCATTTCTGGTTTTGAAGGTGATAACATGATTGAGAGATCCACCAACCTTGACTGGTACAAGGGCCCGACACTCCTTGAAGCCCTTGACTTGATTAATGAGCCCAAGCGTCCAACGGACAAGCCTCTTCGCCTTCCTCTTCAGGATGTTTACAAGATTGGAGGCATTGGAACTGTTCCTGTTGGTCGTGTTGAAACTGGAGTACTGAAACCTGGTATGGTTGTCACCTTTGGTCCTACAGGACTCACTACAGAAGTCAAATCCGTGGAGATGCACCATGAGGCACTCCAGGAGGCTTTACCTGGTGACAATGTTGGCTTCAACGTAAAGAATGTTGCTGTGAAGGATTTGAAACGTGGTTTTGTTGCCTCAAACTCCAAGGATGACCCAGCGAAGGAGGCTGCTAACTTCACCTCTCAAGTTATCATCATGAACCACCCTGGCCAAATTGGGAATGGTTATGCTCCTGTCTTGGATTGCCACACCTCTCACATTGCAGTCAAATTCGCTGAGTTGTTAACCAAGATTGATAGGCGATCTGGCAAGGAGCTGGAGAAGGAGCCCAAGTTCCTTAAGAATGGTGATGCAGGTTTTGTGAAGATGATTCCTACGAAGCCTATGGTGGTGGAAACCTTCTCTGGCTACCCTCCACTAGGTAGGTTTGCTGTGAGAGACATGAGGCAGACTGTTGCTGTGGGTGTCATCAAGAGCGTGGAGAAGAAGGATCCCTCTGGCGCTAAGGTTACCAAAGCAGCTCAGAAGAAGAAATGAAATGAGGATTGGGGATCATTCGTGTCTGGAGTCATTAATAGTCTTGTTGTCATGTCTCCGTGCCGACGTGTTGACGAGCTCTCAGGTATGGTATCTGGTGGTGTCTGGAAGCAGAACTGGGTGCTCGACAGGCGGTGGCGGGGTTGATGGTTGGCTTCTATTTTATTATTGTTCTACGTTAAAACTTGAGACAATTGTCGTATGTCTGCTCTTTCCCAAGGATTTTTGTGAGTCTGGTAGTCTTGTTTTCTGTATCGTCTTCTGCTATGCATGGATTTTGAGATCTAAATAATTTAGTATTTGAACTATATATCGTGGCCTTGCGTGTGTAGTGGATGGTCTTAGCCTAGAATAAATCGTTCTGTTTGTTGCCTGTTGTGGTGCTATATGTTTGTGTCAGGTGCTCCGAAAGATGGTCTGAAGCACTTTGGTGGATGGCGAAAAGCTCATAGAAACCAGCCGGCTCCGGACAAGAACAAACCGGGAGTTCGAGCAAGAATATTTTAATATGTTCTCACATATTAATGCGTGTGTTTCTTTTTAGGTTCCTCTCGTAATTGTATAACCCATTTCTGCAATATATTTCTGTTGTACTCTACAAATCCCGAAGAGAAGACGAACCCCCCAACGGTCAACATGAACTTTCATGTAAAGTAAATGTTGCTAAATGCACGCAGCACACCAGTGAATATCTCTGTCATGAAATTTGCAACCGTTCAAAAGCGTGTATGTGGATCCAATTTGCACATCAGCTCGACGTAATTACTAAGAGCCCAGAGAACATTGTAAAGATCCAACAAGTAAGTATAATGCTGCACAGTAGATTTTATTAAAATGCACGTGAGAATCCCCACATACCAAAGTAACTAGTGTTGTGACTGACTTCTCTTCCTCTCTTCTATGGCTTGTTATGCAACTTCTCCAACCTGCACAGCAACCAGAAGGAAACAGAATCATGCCATCAATCTACCTCACGAGCAAATGTACCACTAAACAGATACTAGTACCAATACTGGCCAAAAAGTACATAGACTGTGTTATTAACGAAAAAACCAGTAAAAAGATTCCTCATCCAAGTGCCTCTCGTATATGAGAGATTCATTACCTGTTGCCTCTGGATCCTGTTGTATCACATGACTGGTGACGATTGTGACACTGCTGCATATACTCTGGCTCTCTTCCTGTAACCATAGCTCTCTGGCTAGCCAGCTTGCAAGGAAGTTCACAACCATCCCTTGTTATGAGATCATCATGCTCATCCATTGATTTTCTTTTCTGTCCCCCATTGTTCTGAAGCCTCCGCTGCTTCTCTAAGGCAGCTTTAGTTTTGCATCTGTTGATGGAATCTGGTGGGAAGAAGATTTTTGCAGTTTCACCAAAGTCGGAGATCTGCCTGCTGATGCTCAATGATTTGGTAGATGAACCTGCATCCATCAGTTCCTTATCCACCTTCACCTTATCTCGTTCATTGACCACCGCACTCCCCAGTGGTAGATCAGGCTTAGAGCAACATGAAGTTTCTAGAGTATTTTCCCTGCAGTCTGAACTCTTATCAAATTCATTACTTGAACAATCATTGCCTTCAGCGCCCATATTATGGTCCCAAATCTCACTCTTACACCCAGCACTCTCCTTTCCATCACCTTGTCCTTGTTTGCAATGATTATCTATATGATTACTGTCAGCATATGACTGTGAACCAAATGACCAAGCAGGACCTGGAGTTTGTCCTCCTTGCTCGACATTAGTCAACACAGCATCCTGAGCATGCCCATTTGTTGACACTGAACTCCTACCAACACTTGAAGTTGTAACAATAGGCTCGTTATTATTACCACCAATGTTTCCTTCTACTTCAGTAGAATGAGAAGATTGACCTGATCGGTTTTGCTCATAAAGCTCCAACATTTGGTTGCTAACATCTGGAATATAGATATGAAAAAAAAAAAATGAAACACAATATTCTCCATAATAACTGTATAATACCTGCTGAGTAGTAGTATTCTAATATGAAACATGAACCTTCCAACTGCCGAGGGGTGACATCAAATTCTTGCCACCAACCCTTTTCAACATCAGATGGCAGCTTCACTTTAAGAAACTTAGCAGCAAGACATACAGCACCAGCTGCTATATGATGGGGCTTATACTGCAAGCAAAGCGATGTTCGCAGCCTGCATTCCCCCCCTTTTGGATGTATAAATGATGGAAAAGAAACACAAATAGATTGACCTAGCCAACATGGGATCACTAATGATGAACACGAGGGTAAGGTCTGACATACCCATCATTCACAAAGTTCCATGCCGCTTGTGCAAGAGAATTCTGTGTGGAAACCTTGAACTTTTTTATTGCTTCAACTAGGGGTTTATAAGGATGGAGCACATTCAGGTCAAAACCCAGTGTAGCAAGTACAACCCGTTCCCCTAGTACAATGAGTTCCTTTTGCTGTTCATATACTTCCTGCACATTACCAAGCAAACATATCACATGACGCATTCAAAACTGTTAAGAAAAGCCACAGAGTAAATTTACATTTTCCTTCTCTACGGAAGGAATTCAAAAGAGTTGAAAACAGAAATGCGCACAAGAAAAGGAATTCAGAATTTCAATATTTAGACAAAAGGTGGATTCAAAACTTAAGTAGAAAACAAGATAAATGGTAAAGTAATAGCAGCAATATTTCTTTCATAAATATGAATACAAAAGGCCAAATGAAAAATAAAAATTTATGAAAAGAGATCACAGGATACCTTCTGTTTGATCTTCTGGACAGCTGAAGGTTCCTTTTTGTATATAATTTCACATGAAACAAGAATGACATCCTTTAGTGGGCGAGAAGTATCTTCAACCTTTCCAGCAAGGAACAAGCAAGCAATTGCAATTATCTGCAGAAAACATATACAGATGAGATAAGAATGGGCAAACTTTACCAGGTGATCAAAACAGAAATTGTTGATTATATCACACATTACTGTTGCTTATTAGGACCCACTTAGACAGTTTTCAGAGATTAGATACTATGGCATCAACAATGTTAAGATTCCAACCACCACCATGACAGCAACAAAAAGCTGTATTGTCCCAACTGTTTGGGGCTGCCAAAATGGGGCTTCTCTTGTCACTGAGCTTAATATATGGCATATCTTTAGTTAAAAAAGAGAGACGCATCTCTTTTTGTTGCTTTTAGAAAAGCTTTCTTATGTCTCCATATAACCCTTTTAACACCACTAATATTAATCAATGTACCTCATATGGTATTGCCTATCTTAGCTTTTTCTTCTGGTATGTTCTTTCAATCTACCTATTTTTCTCAATTAATATTTCCTACTGGAACCTTCACTTCATAGCGTGTGCTGCTACAGCAACCCACAGCAATTTATTAAGTTGCTACGTGATCAAACAGGAATTTTGCTGCTGTTTCCAGCTTCAGGTCAGGTGATAGCCTTTATTTTATTCAGATTAATACTTGGACCATTTCATATAGTCTTTTACAAGTTTTCGCTTTGTATGTTTAACTATAGCAATCTACAATAGTTATTTGATTACTTCTTAATCCAACAAAAGTTTTTCTGCTCTTTCCAGCTTTTGATCAGGTGAACAGTCTATATATATTCAGATCTGATATTTGGCCCATTTCATGTTGTCTTTTACATTCAACCTTTCACTCCATAATGTGTCATTACAGGCTTACACCAACCTACAACAGTTTCTTCAGTTGCTCTCTGATTAAAGAAGTGGTTTTACTGTTTACAGTTTTGATAAGACCCTATATATTTTTCAAATCCAGTAGTCGATTGCATTGTGCATAACGATGCTCTTTCGGCAAACATAAGGCCTAAATTTATGATAGATAACCATACAAAGGTTGCTGGAACTAACTAAGGCTGCTTTGCAAAAATAATATCTTTGTAACAAATCACACCATCCCAAGAGTAACACCTTTAAGCTACAATTGATTTTTGCAACACCAACCAATCTGTTGCATGTAAATACTGAAATTATAGAAAACTGTTGTTTGAAATGCATGAAATACATAAAACTAACAGGTCCTTTTGTATACTTATCATGTAAAATCCCATTCATTTAATTTTGGACCAAATGTGTGATAAATTCTTTTTCTCACTTTTTCCTGAATAACATTCATCAGGACTGTCATAGCTATTACACCAGAATGCATGCAAATTAAAGATGTGATAGTTGTAACAAAGAATCATACCAGAGTATAAACATCACATGTGAGAATAGAATGCACTAAATGCTTGTGTGTCATAAATAAGAACCACCATATACTTACCCTTCTGTCATTCTTTGCATGGGATTGGCGAAGGAAAAAGCGATGACAAAACACAATAGCAGTAGCTATTGTCACTTGAGGCCTGCAGTATTACTTTTCATCCAAGTTCAAGCCATAAATGGAGAAAGCAACTTTTCATACTTTAGAATATGATCAATATAAATCTTCAAGGTTAGTGAGATGTAATTGCAACGTAGTCCAAGAAGGGCCAAGATGAGCACCAAAAGAAAAGAACAATTGGGCTTAACACCTATGCTGTAAAAAGTAGTTTGCATAGAAATTGCCATAGATCTATAAAGATAACAATGATGAAACATAATGGTAACATGATCGAAGGAGTCATGAATGAGCACCAAAAGTTACTAACAGTTGGGCTAAAATCTTATACTGTAAATAATATTATGCATAGAAATTGCCATAGATCAATAAAGATAAATAAGCTACATCTGCATTTCTATGCCTTCAAAAACAATATCACATTCCATAGAAAACTATTACTACAAACACTTTTTGGATGGCCTAAAACCAAAACTTGATGTGCAGTAAATAATCTTTTTCTTTCTTTTTTGTTTGCAATGGTAACCATCTTAAATTTGTCATGTAGATGAGCTGCCAATTCTCTGTTTCATCTAAATTAGATATGGATATATATTTTCATATATACAGTATCTGCATGCCAAAAAAGTAGTTACACAAAATAAAGCATCATAGAGCACTCACAACTTAAGCCTCATGCCCAAATCCTGCAAGAAACTGCAGTATGAATTCCGAAGATTTTTCTCTTTCTTCAATTCAATTCCATCTCTTCTGGATGGAGAATTTTCTTCAATTTCCTTGCGAGAAAAATACCATCTAGAACCAAAACAATTAGGTTCATTCAGCTTATCATATGAACTATGCCCCCTTTTAACCATTCCATAATCAGAGGTGTTGCCTTGTAGAGAACCAGCCAATAACGACCTGTCAGACATGTATCATTATTTGTTATGCTATCGTATACAGCAGAATAAAGATGAATTTCAGTAGTCCCTGCAGAAGAAAAACAAATGTTAATAATGTCTGTCAGGCATAACATTGAAAGGCATTTAACAAAATTAAAAGCACATGGCTGCAACGTTTTAAGATTGGTATTACCATTTGTTAATACTCTATTCCATGAATCCAGTAAACTGTTCAGATGATATATGCTATAAAAACATGATAAAAATATTTATCATGGATCCAAGATGTCCTTGGTTAAGTAATCACTTAAAAAATATTTAAATGATCAGTATTTATCATTATGAAAGCTCCTCATCTTATAGAAACTTACAATATGACCTAGAATTTTCTATTTAGTTCCAAAAAATAGTAAACAAAACACAACTTCAATCAGTGCAAGTAACTTCAGTCAGGCTTCTGTAAACTTGAATGGTCTAATGACCAAAACGCCCATCGGTTAAACTCGAACACTTTCTCCATACTCAAAAACCGTAAAATCTAAGGCTTATCAAACTCCTCTGTTGTTTGAATGACACCATCAGCAAGACCACCTTGAAGCCTCATTGCTCTTAAGTGTTTGGATCTACCGCTAGTCCATTCAGTCAACCCATCTACTGTTTCACGTAGGTGAGACACCCTGGCTCAGTCCGTTACCTTGAACTCCCAATCAGCAACTCAAGAGATACAATCAGCCACGGTATTGGCCAACACTGTTTTACATAAAACACCCTATTTAACAAGAAACAATAAAAAACATATTCCAAAAACCTCTCATGCTTGAGCATGATGGAAGCCACTTCACCAATGCAAAATAGCTTCTTCCACGTAGGTATTGCAATGTCAAAGAGGGTTTAAACTTTGACATACTAAATTGAAATGTAGTTTCCTATAAGATGAGGTCTTTTCATAATAAAGCAATGATGGACATTTGAAACTTTTTTATCTAATCATCATTTATTAAAGAAAAATATGAAAGAATCATTAATGAAATGAGAAAAAAGGATTTTTTTCTCAAAGAGCTATATTTAAATATAGTAATGCTATGTTAGTGTCTTAGTGATTCAACATTTTGGATAACCAATATCCTGTAACCAAAAGAACACTCACCATCCTTGTCATTGTTTTGCTAATTAGATGTCTATATCATTGAATTAAATAATTGTTTGGGACAAGATATGCAATACTACGAATGCCTCAACAAGTTTTGACTAGCCAATTGTGACCTGGAAGAAATTATTATAGTTTTATAAGGCTTTGGCCTGAGAAGCTTTGATTCTACTAAGGCCTTCAATAATGTACAATGTTCTTCTAAGACAATGTCTTCCAAGTTCAGATTATCGAAGATCAGGACAAAGTGGGCACAACTGAAGCCTTTTCTTTTTATTAAACACTTACGCAAGACCTTCTGCCATAATTCTAATGGCTTAAGGGTTATTTAGAAGTTAGGACAATTCTTCTTTATCCCGAGTATTCATCAAAGTCCAAGTAACAGATAAGTTGGACACAATCAATGAATCACGTATTCTAGTTTAGTTCCGACTTCTAAAACTTCTAAAGTTTCCAAGAGGCCTAACAATTAGCGATAGGGTCACCATATGTAACTTATGAATTTGAATGAAAAGCAAGATTAGCAAGACCAGAATTAGGATGATATCAATGTGATGGAGAAAATAAAAAAAAGAAAATACCATATGTACTCTTATGAAATACCATCATACCCTATCCTAGATTCCTCTTTAAATCTTAGAAACCCAGTGTTCGTGATTCTTATGGTTGTAAACAGTCAGCCATGTGAGGCATGGTTCTTAATTTCAGCTAGACTGATATATATTGGTTGGTATTTACTAGTCTGAACCTGATATACACATGTAATATCCCATTTCAAGCGGTCTGGGTTTGATACAGTGCTTACTGTATGATAACTTGATAAGCCTGTTGAACGGGGTTTACTGCATGGTTTTGACTTGTTACAGAGCCTATACCAGAATGTAAGTCCATTTTCTTCTAAATTTAGGGTTACTCCTGCCCTTCTCTCTCATGAATTCTCTTGTTTCTCTCATGTCGCCCACTCGTTGCTTGCATTGTCTGTCATTTCCCAACCGTTGTCGCTCGCTTCGTACTCCTCTTATTCTTATTCTTCTCCTCCTCCTCTTCCTCCTCCTCCACTGTTGCTGCCTTCCCCTCCCCTGTTGCCACCTCCTCCTCCTCTTCTTCTAGTTTGTGATATACACCAATGTGTCCATACAAGTCTGCCCATGGACTGCTTCAAGTATAGTACTTAGAACTTTGCATCTGATGTCAAGTAGCATTTTGGCCATCTAACGTGTACTAAAATTATCTCATCACAGTCCCACTAATATTTAACAACTGAAGACAGTAGGATCTAATAAATCTGATGGTATCGAACATCAGTTATGTTCCAGATGATATTATGATATATAGTTAAGTCACTACCAATCGGATGGTGAGAGTGTATCTACATTGTACTCATTTTATTTAAAATAAATAAGGGAACGGTGAGAGCCGGGAAAGAGGAAAGGACTTCTAGATCTTATCCCCACCATCAACGAAATTAGGAGCCCCATGACTCTCTCTCCTACTATCACTGCACTCCTCTCTCTCTCCATTTATGAAGGTGAATTGCAGTAGCTTGTTTTTTCACCTCTCCTTGTGATCCTTCCTTCATCTCCCTTCCGCTCTTTAAAATAACAATCACCACTGTCAACCACCTTCTTCTTCCTCTTATTGTGGCCTACCTTCTCCTACAGCCACTATAGGGTAGCCTATGAAACACGACTGCTTCAAATTGCTTGTCACATCCATATCAACTATATGTGGGGTAAGATCAAGATATTTCTTTGATACATGCTGAACACCTCCTTCAAGAATCTTTTTTTAATAAATACTAAAAAGAAAGAGGTTCTTAATGTATTGTGTCTACAATTTTGATGGTTACAGATATAATGGTACACCAGCATGTAGCTCATTGTATTGCTGAATAAAATAATAAAAAATGTAGCAGCCTATCAGACTGTACCAAGGTGTATGACCCATATGCTTAGTCAGCCTGGAAAATACTGATCAGTACGTCTTGATCCAACTGGTATTTTAGATCATGGTCCATATTTTATTTGTAAAGCTAAATATGCAGGTTAATTACTTGTTATTGACTACAATAGGTTCTTGCTTGTTATAGAGTAATTGGATTAAAATTCATCATGAAAAAGTTAAGAATGCAAGTTATTACTGGTCATCACAGTATGCAACTAAGCAGTCTAACTACGTAAATTAGATCGTGCTTTGTTAAATATACTATTGTACTACTAAAATACATTGTATCGTCATGTCCTTTGCATATTATACACACTTTTTTAAGGACTTGATAAATATGTCAGGTTGAACCTATTATTTTTTACTAACAATACATAATGAAATCTCTCTTCTCATTTTCATGAAGCAACCTAAGGCTGGATGACATATATATAATACGAAGGTCCCAGGCAGCCAGCCAATATGAGAGCTGCAACAAAAAATTACCAATGCTATCCTTTCATGTGTATTAGCAAAGATAAACTGATGTAGGACGAGATCACACTGAATATAGGAATTCTTTCTTTGGTTTAAGGAATTCTCTCTTTCTTTCGAAGGGAAAGAGAGAGGAAATAAAAATATGTTACCAAACTCACTCTGGTTTAAGGAGAAAACTCCCAGGAATATCAAGTAAATCTCCTTTTATTATTAAAATCCTTTCATAAAAAATTATGTACTACCACAGAGTTGAAATATAAGTCTCATGTATGACCTATTTAAATCATGTTTCTTCCGTGGCTCCCCATATTTCCAATCACCTTAAAATATAAGAATCATAGATGACCTATTTAAATCGTTTTATTCCCCGCATTTCCCCATTTTTTTCCTTTTTTACAAGCCACCTTGCTGCATCATACACTGAGATATACATCCAGATCTAACTACATTTAAAATGAAACCCAAGATGCCATCATAACATGATCAACCTTCCAGTGAACTCAAGCCAGAAGAAAACCATATGACCAAGCACAAAAGCTATAACCTAATGCACAAGATAAGTGGTATTAGAATGATCAAGAATGCAACGATGATGGTGTAACTTTTATATGGCTAACAAGGAGAGAAGAAATACCTAGAACACATAAATGCTGTGTGATAGTCCACAACGTTCTTACTGCCTCTAGATGGGCCAAGATTTCTCAAACACTTAGGTCGCTTCTCACACTCAGCAAACTAAAAGTTCAACGCCAATCATACATGTACGTCTCACACTCGCTTCTCACACTCGCTTCTCACACTTAGGTACGCCTCTTTCCTCCCATCAATCCTAGAAAATCTAATCCAAAATTGAAAGAGAATATATGCTTTCCCTGAACCCTACAGTGGCATCTAAGATTCTCATACCTAATCCGACTCAAGAAGAAGGGGAAACAGAAGAGATTAAAGAGCAAGAATCAAGAAATCAGATCAAGAAAACCCTAGCCCAAACCCGTCAGACAGATCCAATGCCTCGATCGAACCGACCATATAAACTAGATTCCTGACACCAATCGTTGCAGTTATGCGCGACTCCGATCGTCTTGTTCTTAACGCAGGGAACCTCAGAGGCATGCAAGGAGGTCCGATTTTGTGGACGGTAGCAGGAGCGCAGAACGTCTAGAAGAACGGAAAATGAAGCCAAAGGTCAATGGAGGGGGGGTACCTGCCGGCCTTCTGCGGCGGCGGCGGCGAGCGAAGCTACGCGGAGCGGAGCGGAGAGCGACGGAGAAGACGGTGAGCTGAAAGGAGCGGGGAAGGGGCTGAACCCAAATGGTCGGGCAGTTATGAAGGCTGCGGTGACGGGTCGGATCTTTTTTATAGGAGTAACGAAAAGGGTTAGCGTGTAAACGGGTCGGATTCAGAAAGTGAGATTGGATACGCGCTCCATAACGGGTCCCTCGTTCATGCGCGCCCTTCCAATTCAAAACATGTAATAGTTTCGTGTGCGTCCTTCACAACATAAACAATATGTCTCATGCAGGATGACATGAATGCATAAAATAAATGATTAGTATATGTGGCCATTAACATTATTCGGACCACTTCATGTCAAAATCAAAGTCTTGCAGTCGACTCCATTATCAAATGGACACATCGATGCTCGACTTATGCTACCAAACAATATTCCACGTCAGCATCTTAGCTTCGCTTGTCACATACTACATTGATCGATCAACTGTACCAATGCATTACATTCTTACAAAACAAGCTCTTATGATCGACAGAATTCATATTGCTTGGAGATTTCTGCATCCAACTTGGGCAATAATTAGTGCACTCTAAAATGGAATCTCTTCGAAGTCCTTCTCGTGTCACTGTTTCTATGTCTCCACTACACTCCGATCTGTGCCCATCGCCACTGGTCACTAATTATGAGTAGGCCACATCCGAGGTGGTCCCACCGAAAGACAGCCAAAGGCTCTCGGCCACGTGGCCACCGCCTCGGCCCACGAGGAACTTATTCTTACTTTTTTTTTTGTCCAATATATTAAAGAAAGAAAAAAGTATATTGATGACTCACTGGATAAATATGAGAATTTAAATTTTTTCCCTCTATTAATCGTGACCGTTGGATGAGGCTTGTCGCGGTCTGATCAATGGTACCGATTACTTAAGAAAGGTGGAGATTAAATTCGACGGCCCTGATCTATTCTTTCGTCTTTAAATCTCCCTGGCTGCTTTGAGCTTCCAAGCGTCTTCTCCCTCTGCAAGGATCTTCGGTCCCGTCACCCTCTTCTAATCTCACCGTCGCTCACCGCCCCCGCACTTCTCCGCGGAGCAAGAGAGGAGAAGACCGGGATGTTGCTGGGGAAGCGACCGAGGCCCCAGGTGAGGCGGACGCCGAGCTCCGCGGAGTTCTCCTCGGCCGTCGTCTTCGATGTAGAGGCCGCCCAGACGTCTAATCAGGACGCGATCGCTTGCCACTTTAATCCGAGGGAGACGCGGTGGGGCGCGGCGGAGGCTGCGCAGATCGGGGCCGCCGGGAGAGAAGGCTGTTGGGCGACGAGGCACGTGGGGTCCACGCTTTTCCTCCACAGCGGCGTGCACTGTGGGAACTCCGGCGACGGGACGGCGCCCTTCTTGAGGGCCTGCGGCCTCTGCAATCGCCGCCTCGGACCTGGCCGAGATACTTACATGTATAGGTACTGCTCTCTTGTGCCTGCTTCTCTCACTAAAAACTTCATCTTTTTTCTGGCTTTCACATGTTTTACGGATCAAAGATCGTTTTTTCACCCCAGGGCATGCGGACGCGCTGATCCAATTCAAATTAATTCGATGGGTTTTAGGAAAAATATGCTAATAACAGAGTGCACGCTATGTTGGATTTTGCTTATAACCTTCAAAAGTTCAATTTTCTTATGATTATGGGAAGATTTTGTGGAAATGTCTGGAGAGGTTTCTCTTTGAGTTCAGATCCTCTGTTAGTGTTACATATATTTGTAAATATTCATACATCATTCTGACTTTTTTATTGATTTATATAGGAAGTCATTAGTTAAATCCAAGAGGTAGTCTACTCATTTCTCTAAATTGGTATAAAATTTCTACACTCAAATATTAGAATTTTGTTCTTAATTTGTTAGTTATTGTTATCAATGCCTTATTGATATGAAGTAGTACTAAGTCCTGCCTTTTTATACTCTTTGATGACATCATTTATCTCATCATGTTAAGTTATTTGATCACTGTCATTCCATCTAAAATTCTAAACCTGTACATGAGACAAGATCTATTGATTTATATTCTTAATCTATCTAAAAGCATAAGCTTACAGATGAAGATTTATTGATGTGTATTCATAGTACATTAAAATATAAATTCACGTCAATCATATTAGTGTTAGATCCATAATACTCCAATTACTGCAACTTTATTTTCTTCAGTGAATTCCTAAAAAAAAAAATCATGTCTGTGTTTTTGCATGCATGTGAATACAATAATGTTATGAGTTGCATGTCTTGCATTTTTTGCATAAAAACTGCTCAGTCTTCTGTGCGTTATATATGGTTCAAGACCTTCATTTTTCTTATGTAATGTGAAAGTTTGGAAATTTTAGATGTTATGCATTTATTTGTTATATTTCATTGTGCAGGGGTGACATTGCTTTCTGTAGCCTTGAGTGCCGCCAGCAACAAATGAATTCAGATGAGCAGAAAGAGAAGTGCTATCTAACTTCTATGAATGATAATCCTCTTGAAACTAGCTGCTCCAACCAATCCGACTGTGAGGCATCGATCACTGCTACCTGAGCTATCATTAATAACTGTTCATAGAATTTTCAGTGATTCCAAACAAGATATTTCAAATGCTATAATGCAAAGAGATACATGTAAGTTTCTATGGTTTTCCAGCATCAATTAACCTATTAGAAGAAAAGGAATGTAGATTTGATGCTATTGTGTTTTCCAAAATTTCTTGGTGCCCATGAGAAGCCCCCCATTGTCTTTAGATCTCGTTTGTAAAATATTATTCTCTTTTTTTTTTTTTGTAATGGAATGTGATTTGTTTAGCTTCTGAGTAATGTCAACTTGTCAATATCATATAAATTGATTGATTCCCTACCTCCTGATTTTTTTATGATATTATAGTTTAGTAGAATCAGCACAAGTTTAAACTGAAACTGAAGAAAAAATTGCTCAACTGTCTGCAATAATCACTACGTTGATCTTCTAGATTGGTTGGCTGCTGGTTGTGTTATTAATGTGCTAATTATTGTATGGCCAGCAAGACAACTATTCAGCAACAATGATACAACTCCAAATAAATTGGAATGAAGTTAGAGACAACTTGGTGACTGCAAGTAAAACATGTACACTATTCCCATATATTAGAACATGAACTCATTGGAGTATTGGCAGTAACAGTAATTTTAATTTCATAAAGCCCACAGCAGAATCTCTTGAAACAAATTATCCATTAACTATCAGCCAAAAAGCATAAAATAGTAGTGTTATCTACGATCAAACAAGCATTGACCATAAGGAGTGTAAAGTGAATATTCATCTTCTATGTGCCTTTTACCAGAACTATGTTGCTGTCGACAATTGGAAAGGCCATCAAAGGGAAAATGTCAAGGCTCTGCTTCTTCACTAAGTTGTGATTTATCATGTAACAAAAGATTTTTGTCTCAGATACATTACCATATCCTGTGAGATACCGAAGTTTTTTCAATGATTTACACCATTGGAAACACCAATGAAAGTACCCAAACTATTATCTTATGATCAACAGGAATATGGTGGTGGAGTCTTCTTTGAGAGAGAAGAAAGATCTAATTGTTGCTTTGGGACATCTGGATCCAATAGATAGATGCATTGATTGCAAATCCATGACCCTGATTTTATCACTATCTTACACCATCATCCTTCAGTTCACATTGTCCACTGTGTCAACACAAGAAATGCCAATAAATGTCAGCTAGAGATACTGTTAGATGTGTCTATGCATTTTTAGCAAGTTAGGTCAATTCAGATTCAACTTTTCTTAAATCGATTAAATAAATCGTGCATATTAATGGTGTTTATGCTTTGATCAGTCAGGCATGGTGACAATTGTCTCTCTTTCACATCACAACTTGATGTGGATGAGGAAGTCATGCCATCTTTCTTAATGACTTAGTCACAATCTAGACTTCTTAACTTTGGCTTGTCTGGTACTCACAAAAACCAATTGTTTAAGCTGGGAGTTAGGTGACTGTGAATCTCCTTTTATATGATCTTTTTTGCTGATTTCTTTCACTGGTCCCAAGAAAAAAATCAGGCTGTAGCTATTTAAAAGGAACATGCTCTCACTCAAAACTATTCTGTGAAGGTGGCAACAGAACTTTGATGATTTTTCTTATCCAATTTAAGAGATGATAATTTATCATCATAATATCTGCAATAATTATATGAAGCATTTGAGATACACTTATGATATCATTAGTCTGGTTAAATTAGGTTTTTGAAGCTTTTGTATTCTTAGCAGAACATACTGAGTTCGTTCATAATATCCACTTATATTGACATTAACATACCATATTCTAGTGCAATTTTTTGGTCAAAAAATTACTTACAAGATGAAGATGGATTATAACTTGATTCACCATTGATATATGACTAATTAAACATCTACGTTTGGATAGAAGCAATAATGAAATGTTCCTTCCATGAAGCCTTGGCACTAACAGTACTTTTTGCAGCAACAGCATGTAAGAAGTGATTTGGGAACCATGACCTAAGAGCTACAACACATGCAAGTGACTGGAACTTCAAGATTGGCAGGATCTTTTGATGAACTTACTCTTATCAAGCACTAACAAACCACCAGATTTAAGGTTGCAAGCTGAAAACTCTACCTCAGTCCTTCAGCTAAGAATCAAGTCTTGACAAGATACAAGCTGCATGTGTTCCAGTCTGTTTCCTGAAGAACATTTGAAGGGTAAGCTTTGAAAATGATGTGACCTGCACAAAGCTGGCCAATGATACTTGTACAAGCAGTCTTTAGTGGCACCTGGGTCTCTCTTGTACCATCATGGTGGGCTTTATCTCTGATGACTTGATAATAATGTGGCTCACTCCTGCAATGTAGACTGGTGACCAACTAAAAGTCTGATGACATTATGCCTCTTCTATCTCACCAACAGGCAGTGGCTCACATCAACTGAAAGCTTCAGGTGGATGCAAACGAAGCCCAAAGACAAGCCAATTACAATGACATTAAGCCTTGATGTTCCAACAACTATTTGGGATTCAATTCATGAATCTTTTCTCACTATTAATCATTGTGTAAGACCATGGTTTAGTTAAATCATCAAGAGCATTGAAATGTTGTTATACATTGTTTCTAATAAAATCTTCTTAGATATTTCTTTAACTCAATTCAGTCTGTTAATTACAAAAAATTTCTTTGTATATCTTTGTACCTACTTAAACTATTTTTTCTCCTTTTATTTCTCTACTGGGTTGTATTTACTTATTTGTGAATCAAAACTTTCCTATGCTATCTTTTCAAGTAATCCCATATATTCATATTAACATTTTCATTTCAACTTTACAAATTTTTTACATTTTTCTTAATCATCCAATATTTTGATCATGATTAGGCTTGCAACTATCTTAAGGAGCATCCAAGAAGTTAAGTTTATGTCATATAACTTATGATGCTTCTCTCCATTTTAATCATCTGATTTATTCCATGAGTAATTTCATTGTCATTCTTTATACCTAACACTTTAATCATCCATCTTAACTTCATTTTCAAGACAAACCAACTGTTGATTTGAAATGCATGAACTCCTATCCACTCAAAAAAACCTCTCTTATTATTACCTTAATGAATGGTAGCCAAGCCTTTTCATGGTAGATAAATGGATGTTAAAGAGCATCTGAAGTTGCTTGATCAAACAAAACTAAGTAGCTTTTGGCCTACTGCTTTGTGATCCATTTGCAACATCATCTTTGCAAATGTCACTCTCATCCAATTGTCCAAAATTGTGATGCATAGGGATATTACAAGAATCTGAAATTTGCCAAACAATTGATTAATTGTATAAATTTAGTTCTTGTAGACTCCAGATTTGATTGTTTATGCTCACCTTTGCAAACAATAAGATCATCTTAACCAGTGAATACCTGTAAATATAAATTACAGAGAAATATATATTTACAAAACAAAACCATCTTTCCTCTATAACATCCATCTCTCTATCATGTTTTGGCAAGATGGTTTTGTTTTGTGTGTGCATATATATATATATATATATATATATATATATATATATATATATATATATATATATATATATATATATATATATATATATATA